GCCAATTAATAATTCCTAACAAATATTCTTAAGAAACATCGCAATTAAAGCCATCGATTGAAGCAAATTGGTTCTTGAATTCGAAATCAACATAGATTTGCAACAATCGCTTGGATAACGCAACTCTAGAAACACCTAAAATTTTCACTACACGACGCTTTTTATTCAAGAAATATATATGACGACGAAGAAGATGAACTTCTAAATCGAGTGAATACAAAACGGAACTTCCTGATGTTTTTTCAATCTTAGATTATTGCAAGTTTTGCATTGATTGAGTAGTATAACGACAAAAGGCTAGAGTGAAATAGAGATCCTAGGGTTTAAATTTTCGCCAAAATGATATGAGAAATTTACCGATGAGTGGAATGGATTGGAAGTCTGTGGACATACTGGCGCCGGATTCTGCGATTCCGTTCCGATGAAGCGATCGGAAAGAGGGAATCTTTTTAAGTGAGAGACTTTGGAGTAACTTTTAAGTGAAGTGGTTGGAATCTGATTCTTTAATCGATCCGTTGATGTAATATATTTTTTATTTTTAAAGATTTAACCATTATATTAGATATATAATAAAATATTGATTTTAAATTTTGTCCAGAGTGAATTAAGTAGGTTTTTGGTCCTTGTTTGCATACGTCGAGTTTTTGTCAAACTTTCAAAATTTTGAAATGGTTTGTTTTTGTGGTTTTCAAAAGGGATGACTTACTAATATGTTTTTTGATTTGTATATATATTTGGTTACTGAGTTTTTCTATCAATATTTACCGTTTCAATTTGTTAAACTATACATATTCAATCTTTATGACTGGTTACTCCTGATAAACCAGAAAAAATGACTTAATATGATAATAAATTTCTTATTTTGTACATATTTAGTTTTTAATATTTTTTTAACACATTTAGTTTTTAATATATTTTTTTTGTTGCAAAATTAATCATTGTTGTTTTTGTACACATTCAGTACTTATGACTGATTTCTTTAGGTTTTTCTCACGGCATCCTATGTGAGACAATCATTAATAATGTGTTTAAGGATGTTGATGTTTATGACCACCGCGCCCTCGACTGCTTAAATCTTGTGATTTGACTTGGGTCTTGTGTTATGAACATCGTTACATATTCATACAATCTCATATTTCAACGAACTTTATATTCATGTATGCGTATTTAAGTCTACTACAATTTTTGATTAGATTACTCTTGTTAAAAGGTTATATATTTTAGGGAAAACTGCAATAAAGTTCCTACATATTGACCTCATAATCGATTTAGTCCCTATATATTTTTTTTATTCAATTAAGTCTCAAATACCGGTAATCGTATTCAATTTAACCCTTTGACCCGGTCAACAGGTCATCCAACTTTCAAAAATTACATTTTTGGCCTAGATTTCAAAATTTATTACAAATTTGGTCCAAAATTTACACTTTTGGCCTAGATTTTAAATTTTGTTACAAATTTGGTCCAAACTTTACCCTTTTGTCCAAATTTTAGAATTTTTTTTATGAATTCATCCTAACTTTGTTTTTTTTTACAACTTTTTATATCAAAAAATTGTTTCCAATATGTTTTTTCCTTATAAAATCATATTTATACAAAAAAAACATATTCTCACATAAAAATCTTATATTTTCTATATACAAACTTTTTTTAAAAAGTTTTTTGTATATGAAATATCTAGTTATAAAAATATGTATTATTAAGTATATAAATATATACAAATCCGTTTTTATAAAAATGTATACAAAAACGTATTTTACAAAAAATATATATACAAACACCTATCACCTTTATATATATATATATATATATATATATATATATATATATATATATATATATATATATATATATATATATATATATATATATATACACACAAATAGGTGTGTATCTATATTTTTTATAAAATCGTGTTTGTTTATATTTTTTTTATAAAAACGTGTTTGAATAATTTTGTATATAATACGAGTTTGTATACATTTTATAAAATCGTGTGTGTATACATTTTATAAAAACGTTTTTGAATAATTTTTTATATAATACGTGTTTGTATATATTTTATAAAATCGTGTTTGTATACATTTTATAAAATGTATACAAACACGTATTATATAAAAAATTATTCAAACACGTTTTTATAAAAAAAATGTAAACAAACACGATTTTATAAATTTTTTTTAGATAAAATAGGTGTTTGTATACATTTTTTTTGTAAAATACGTTTTTGAATACATTTTTTTTTTATAAAAACGGATGTGTATATATTTATATACTTAATAAATACCTATTTTTATAACTAGATATTTCATATACAAAAATCTTTTTAAAAAAAGTTTTTATATAGAAAATATAAGATTTTTATGTGAAAATACGTTTTTTTAGATAAATATGATTTTATAAAGAAAAAACATATTAGAAACAATTCTTTGAGAAAAAAAGTTGTAAAAAAAACTAAAGTTAGGATGAATTCATAATAAAATTCTAAAATTTAGGCAAAAAAGGTAAAGTTTGGACCAAATTTGTAATAAAATTTAAAATCTGGGCCAAAAGTGTAAATTTTAGACCAAATTTGTAATAAATTTTGAAATCTGGGTCAATAATGTAATTTTTGAAAGTTGGATGACCTGTTGACTGGGTCAAAGGGTTAAATTGAATACGATTACCGGTATTTGGGACTTAATTGAATAAAAAAATATATAGGGGCTAAATCGATTATGAGGCCAATATGTAGGGACTTTATTGCAGTTTTCCCTATATTTTACTTACGGTTTTATAAAAAAAAAAAGCGTTCATATATACATTCACAAAGAAAGCATGGATATAAAGATCGTAAGTAAAAATATATTACTTTTTAATTGTTGTAATCTAAACGAAAGTTTTATTAGACTCAAATACGAACACATGGATATAAAGGTCGTTAAAATCCAAGATCATATGAAGAAGTTACGACGTTCAGAACACAAGACCTAAGCAACCAAGCAGTCGAAGTCGTAGTGGTCATAAGCATCAACAACTCTGAACACCTTATTAATGATTGTCTCATGTAGGATGTTGTGAGGAAAACCTAAAAAAACCGGTCATAGTATTAAGTGTGTACAAAACAACAAAGATTTATTTTGCAACAAAAAATATTAAGGACTAAATATGCAAAAAAATATTAAGGACTAAATGTGTATAAAGTAAGAAATATATTATCCTATTAAGTCATTTTTTCCGACTTACTTGGAGTAGTCGGTCATAAAGACTGAATGTGTACAATTTAACAAGTTGAAGGGGTGAATATGGAAGAAAAAAAATCAGTCACAAAATGTTTACAAATCGAAAAATATATTAACCTTTTAAGTCATTATCCCTTTTCAAAAGTTACACGTGAGCTCAAACTTCAGGCTAAAAATTTGACCAATACCAAATATGATGAAAACTTAAAGATAATAAAAGTAAAACACAAAAAGAAAATAACCTCACATTTTTTAATTGCTTTATTTTAAATAACACTTAAAAATATATATATTTTTTAAACAATTATTCAAATTTTATTAAACCAAAACTAACAAAAAGCTAACTCGTAAATTACAAACATGAATCAATCAATGATTTTTTAAAGAGGTGTTGCTATATGTATCATCATCGCTCACAAAAATTACACTCACATAAGGGGTACACAAAATTTCCCTTTTTAAACCCACCAAAAAACACTATTGAACTTCTAACATCTGGGCAATAACCAAGAATAATACGTACTAAAATGGCTTCATAAATCAAATAATTTCTCATCCATTTCTCTTTAATGATGAAACTGTTCTTGTGGTGTGCCATCACGACTTACTTGAGCTTTCACTCTAGAAGTTCCAACCATATTGGACAGTGAAAAAAGAAAGGCCATTGATAAAATTAGTCATAAAAGTGTTGGTTTTGTTACAATTATGCTATTTCAACTTTGAAGTCTTAAAATTGTCACCAAAGACATACTAGAATGGCATGCCACCTAGGTTAATGACCACCTCTCTGCATATAACGATGGCATGACATTCATATAAATTTAAGAAAAAAAAACTTTATTAAAGTTTATTTTATTATTATTATTATTATTATTATTATTATTATTATCATCGTTATCGTTATTATTATTATTCTGATTATCATTATCAATCCCTAAACTACTACCGCCACCATTTTAATTCAAACTATGTTCATACCACACATATTTATATAGTTTCATCGGGTCTAAAATGGTTATTGTAGATTATTTTTCAGGAAATCAATAAAACATAAAAAAAACAATTTCACAACGAAGAAAGAGAACTGAGTTTTTATGTTTTAAAACCATGTTCATTCAAACTCATAAACATATATGTAGTTTTGATGTTTTTTCGATTTCATAACTCAAACCCCAATACTTTGTTAATATACAAATATTATGATTGAAATCTAAACATTAAAAAAAAATCCCTAAAACCCCAAATCGTTGAAATCTCCTTCCATCTTCAATTCTTCATCCCTAAATCCATATATGTACAAGACATCATTTCAAGCAAACTATCTTCCATTGATCTGAATCTTCAACAAATCCCCCCCCCCCCCCCAAACAAACAAACAAACAAAAAAAAAAAAAAAAAAAAAAAAAAAAAAAAAAAAAAAACCAACCAATATAATCCTAAATCAATATAAAATCAAGGGTAAATTACAAGAATGGTCCCTGTGGTTTTGGATAATTTGCATGTTTGGTCCCTAAAAACTTTTTTTTAACTCGGACCGTCCATACATTATGTTTTTGTTGCACACTTGGTCCCTGTCCATTCTAAAAAGACTAATTTACCCTTACTGATTTCTTTTACCCTTTTTAAATTATCAATTAATTAAATATGAAAAAAAATTAAATATATTTTACCCTTACTAATTTACCCTCCTCCTTACCCCACCCTCCTTGTGTTCAGTCGCTGAAAATCTCAAACCATTTGCCGGAAAATCTCAAACCACTCGTTGGAAAATCTCACACATCAACGACGTTGCCGCCAAATGTAACCAAACCACCACCTCTCGATTTCTTCACCATCCACCATTCCATTTCTGCTCCATCTCGCATTCATCGTCACCCCACCTAGCCGGAATACCACCACTCTGCCATCAGAGTAAAACATCACCACCTTCGTTACCGGAAATAAAATTGCAAAATCTAAACCATAAATCAAATGAGAAATCCAATAAAAGAGATGCATCCTCTTATTACATTCCTTCTACAGTCGAACCACCACCACCCTTCTTTATCTTCTCCGACAGGCCGCCAACAAACCACCGCCAAAACTTCGTCTGAAGCAAATTGTCGAAAAATAAACTAGGACCCGATCTTAAGCAAAATCAAACCGGAAATTTGGAAAATCAAACCCGATCCAAATAAAATCAGAAAATCAAATCAGAATCAGATATGAAGAAAATCGTCAGATAAACCAGGAAAAGATACTAGCAAATCTGAAACAAACCCAAAAATCAAACATGAAGAAAATCATTGGAGAAACTAGACAGGAAGAAAATCATCCTTCAAATTTAACTTTGTCGGAGAAGATACCAATTCGAACCGAGGGAAATGGTTTAGGGATGTTGTTAAAATGATTCACGGCGACGATTAAGTGATTCAGGGCGGTGATTCAAGTGAGAGATAAGGATAATGATGGTGGTGGTCTTGGCTCCGACGGATCTAATTGTCTAACTTTCACATGTCAGCTTATGGCTGGGATGTCTTAGTGGTGTAGATGGCTAGAAAAGGAAGGTGGAAGACCGAGTTTGGTGAGTTCATCGTCTCTAGCAGAAGCTTCGGTGGTGGAAGAGATGAAGGAGGCCGTGAAAGATCGGCTGGAAGCAATAAATGGATTAGGGTTGGATGCATGTGAGGAGATAAAGATATCATGGGACCCAAGCTTTTTATTTTAATAAAAACATATTTAAAATGATTTAAAATATATATAAAAAGTCTATTAAGGGTAAATTAGTCTTTTTATAATGGAGAGGGACAATGGTGTAACAAAAACATAAGGATGGTCCGAGTTAAAAAAAGTTTTCAGGGACCAAACATGTAAATTCTCCCAAACCACAGGGACCATTCGTGTAATTTATACTAAAATGAAAACCATAACCTAACCTTAACTAACCTAGAAGTAGAAGACAAAGTTAAAAGCAAAAAAAATTCCAACTCAAAATCATCTTCATTATTGGACATAAATAGTGTATGTATGTGTACTTTGCCGTTGCTTAAGTTGGCCACTAGCTAAGCTGGCCTATGATCTAACTATGTTGCCTTGCATAGAGTGCCTGAGAGCGTGAGCTACCCGTTGCTCTACCGTACTAGATTTCAACTGTTGAATTTGTCTAGACCAATCTTGTGTTATAATCACAAATTTATTGTATATTTTTGGTTTAAATTTCATTATTTTGTATCAAAGTTTTTGGGTTGCTATTTGTAGACAAAAGTGTATGCTGGTCAACTACTCCAACCCGTTTTGATCCGAACAAATTTCAACCCGTGATTCAATCCGCCCAACATGCTTATTTTGCCACCTTTAGATGGAATAGCCCAAAAGGTTACTAAAAAAACTGTTATAATGAATTAATGATAATTTTTATAATAATATTTGATATAATTAATTATATAAAAGAGTTAAAATAAAAGAAAATATTCATAAGTCAAACCAACTCAACCCAATTTCTACTTAAAAATCATAGAAACATGATAAAACTGAAGAAAATAACATCAAGAAGATATATCTTATATCTTTCTGTTAAAGAAATTACATTTACACAAATCTTTCAAGAAAAAAAAAAAGGGAAAATTTATTTAAAAATGAACCAACCAACCACACCCAAAATCTCAAATGTTGATCATAAATAATCAAATTTTACAGCGGATATCTTTTATATATCACACATGCAATTAATAAGCCGCCGGAGAAGACGACCGATGTCCCTACCTCGCCCTGACGGAGTGGTTCCGGCAGAAGTGGCGGCTGTTACTCTCCTCCGTCACTCTTTCCACCATATAATGCGCCAATAAATCCTTAGAAGACTTCACTAAATTCTCTTTACACAAAAACTCTTCACTCGAAACCCTCTCCACTTTCCTCTTATAATCATGAACGAAAACATGAGTTTTCCGATTACCACCCTTTTTGCTCCTCGCCAGCACGCCGGCGGTGAAGATGGCCGACATCCTCCCCGGCCCCTCCGGCCAATACCCACGTGGCCCATCCACCAGTATGATGTCCCAATCCAGTTCATATAACTGATTCGGAAGATCATTCAGTCCAATTTTACAATCGGAAAACAGAAGATTTTGCACAGGTCGACATTCATTACGCACTTGTTCTCTAACAGAAGTTATAAGATCATTAAGCTCGCTGATCTTTGTCGTGTATTGAACATCATAAGCTTCAATCTCCGGGTGCTTTTCCTCGATATACGCAGCATAATAACGGTTTTCATCGATGAAAACAGTCCGGCCATGGTGGTTCAAAGCGTTCCAGAGAAGGGTCTCCGGCGTCAGGCCGAAAACAAGAAAGTTACAAGGTGACGGACATTGCCGGAGGACGTCGGAGATTTGTTTAATATCGGTGTTTGACATGTGATCGGAGCTGTTGGTGTTGGCTGCGTAGTGAATCAGGGCTTTGGTGACTGATTTCGGAAGGATGTGGTGGTTGAGGGTTGATGCAGCGGTGGTGATGGAAGTTGCAGCGGCGATGGTCGTGGTGGTGGTGGTGAAGGTTTCGCGTGTGTAAATGAATGTGAGGAGGGAAGCTACCGCAAAAATGGAGACGGCGGCGATGAGCCAGTAAAGGCGGGTGGAGGAAGCTTGTTTTTGAACGTAGGGGTGGAGGAGGATGAGCTTCGTGCTGCCATTGTTGACGGTGTTCTTCATTGTTTGTGTGTGTTTTTTTGAGTTGCAGAAGGGAGGTTTTTGAGTGATTTTTAAAGAAGGAATTTGGATTGAGCACCAATTAAGGGTTGAAGCAAAAGGGATTGATGGAGACGCAACAATGGCCATTGCACCACATTTGATTGTGAGATTTCATCTATTCTTTTATTTAATCTTGGCACCTAACTAGAAATACCCCAAAACAAATCAATGTGTAAAAAACTAAACATCAATTTTCATAAGTTGAATAAAGTTGGAAAAATTGTAAGAAAGTCGTTACATTATCATGTTTTTTTTTTTTAAAATGGAACATCTCATTTGTTAAAAAAATTTCAACTTTAACCATTTCATCTTTCTTGTAACTTGGTTGTCATTAGTTGAAATTAGGCGTTGATTTAACATGTCGACATGGCACCAAATTCACTACATTATCATTTTTTTTAAACAACTCCAATATATTTTTTCAAGTTGAACATCTTTAATCTCATCAATTGATTCACGTAAGCAATTTCAATAATACAAGGAGTACAAAGCAATCCATCAAATCCAACGACAAGGCCAAATACATCTTTACTAAATAACAAACTCACAATATACTTTGTACCTTGGAAAACAATACTACGTAAGGAACCATTGCTATCATCACATCTTTCAAACATTCATTATAAAAACCAGCCAACGATAAATTTCCAAGGCAAGACAAAGATAGCATACAACACCACAGATACACATCTTTCATACTCTCATTCATACTTCCTTAATACACAATCCCCTTGTCCTAACTTAAGCGTTAAAAGGTATTACCGGGAACCTCCTGTATTGACCCTCTTTATCTGTCCATTTATGTTCTACGATCAATATGTTACACCAATCTTAGGCCTTGCAAAGAACGACCGACAACATTGGTGCTATTAATATTCATTACCGATAAAGAACACTACAACTATGCCAAACAATAACAAACCAACATATCTGATATAGCCACACCGATCAGTCCAATATACATGAGGAAAGTCTTCGTCCGAACACATACTACCATCTTACCAACTATAATTAAGGATCAGGCGATCCCACTCGGCAAGAAAGAGAAGAGAGCAATGCAAGAGAAAGCCTAGAAAAAATTGAAAAAATAACTCCATCGATAAGCACTAAAAATGTCCAAGGGAGTCTGGAACATGTCAACTCCCAATACAATCATATGTACAAGTCGAAACATTTGAAAGCACGAGTACATGATTCAGAGGGACTTCCAGGAAGTCACCAAGTACCATGGTTCTAAAAGGCGTGCCATGGCGCAAGGTGTGATGTAGCCATTACAAAAATGTCCAATGCGAGTTTGTTAAGTGTAGCGCTCAAATAATGCGTCAAGGCGTGCCTTATCACGTTACGGCGCGAGTTTTTTTCAAGACGTGAATTTTTTTGTTTCTTCTGATCGAACCTAAAACAATTGAGTTTTTGTTAATTTTTTTATATTAAAGGATAATATAACACTTCTAAAGCTTGATATATATATATATATATATATATATATATATATATATATATATATATATATATATATATATATATATAGAGAGAGAGAGAGAGAGAGAGAGAGAGAGAGAGCTAGGTTCAGGTGTTTAAAGTAATTATTGTGTTACTGTATGCATAAATGTGGGTCAATCAAATTTTAAAATAAAAATAAATAATTAAATTAATAAATAAGGGTAAATAGGTAATTTGATAATTAGTTTCCACAAATAATATCCTATAATTATGGTAATTTGATATTAATCACGTATATTTATAGATGATAATTTTAGGGTTTCAATTTTCCAATTGACTTCTACCCAGAGCCAAGATCAAAATCTCGATTTCTCGACATCAACACATCACTCATCAGCTTCGTGACATTCGTCGTCCGTCGATTGGTCACAGCAATTGACACAACACCTCATATTGGTCACTCCAATTCGTGACCAACACCTTAGATTGGTCACAACAATTGACACAAGAAACTGAACCAGTAGATGAAGAAGATGCAACTAACGAAGAAGAAGAAGAGGAAGAAGAATCATATTTAGAACCACCTGAATAGGCAAAGCTTTTTGTCGGTAACTTACCCTGCGATTTTGACAGCGAGAAATTGGCTAATCTCTTCAATTCTGCCGGAGTAGTAGATATCGCCGAGGTATTAATCGATTGACTTTTCAGTAATTTCTTAATTAATTTCGTATGTTGCATAATGTGTTTACAATGGCCGATTTGATGTCTGGTTTTAGGTTATATACAATAGGGATACAGAACAAAGTAGAGGATTTGGGTTTGTGACAATGAGCACAGTAGAAGAAGCTGAGAAAGCTGTGGAGAAGTTCAATGGCTATGTAAACTTAATCTTCTTCTCCATCCATCCATCTTAATTACTACATATTCACATTAATCTGTAATATTGTTATGAACAAAAATAGGATTTGAGTGGAAGGGCTCTTATTGTAAATAAGGCTGCACCAAGAGGTTCACAACTAGAAAAACGAGTGGTGTGGACTTCTTTCAAGATCTACGTGGGTAACCTAGCATGGCAGGTGGATAGTGAACGTCTGGAGCAGGCGTTTAATGAACATGGGAAAGTGGTCGATGCAAGGGTGATTTATGATCGTGAAAGTGGAAAATCATGTGGGTTTTTGTCAGCTTCGTGACATTCGTCTCTGATACTGTTTTATTTTAATTACTTCAAACTTATATTTTCCACATTTCAGATCAGTATCCACATGATAATCTGTAAGATAACATGAACGTTTTTTCATGAATCCATTAAGATTAATTCAATTTCTCATAAGTTGAAAGCTTTACCATACATACAGTTGAAGTTCCAAGATTTTGATTTTTGTTCAAGTTCTTGTTTTCATACATTGCAACTGCAACAAGACTACAACCCTTCATTCATCTCTAGTTTCTTGAACTCTTGGTAACTTGAATTTGTTTCTTCAGAGCCAATGCACAACAACCAAAACTATTTGTTGGGATGATCCTCATCCTTATTTTTTATGAAGCTCTTGCCCAATATGGTCTCATTGTTGGCATCATTCTTTCTTCTCGTGTTGGTCAATCCAGAGCAGATTAGAAGGTATTCATTCTTTCTGATTTAACACTTCATTTATGTGGACAATGCAGGATCTTGACAAGGTTGAATTCTGAAAAGGTATCAAGTTTGTTTTTGTAAATGATTCAATGGTTGATATTGGTGAGATTCCAATTCTATTGGAATGGAATCACAAATTCCAATTCTATTGGAATGGAATCACGAATTCCAATTCTGTTGGAATCATAGAAGTTGATGCTTGAAGAACGGACCACGAAATTGAAACGGACCACATTATTCTTTTAGAATGTATTAGTCGTTGTTAGATTTTGATGTAATTCTTAACAATTGTTACCCGTATTCTATAAGAAATAATGTATTTTTTGTTTTTATTCTTCAATTGATTGTTCAAGAATTTGTTATTCTTCAATTGATTATTCAAGAATTTGTTATTCTACAAGAAGTTTTTAAATTCATGATCAAGAAATAGGTTCAAGAATATTTTTATTATTTATGGTTCAAGAATATTTTTATTTTTTGAATATACTCATAAACATATTCTGTCAGAATGTCCGAATTAAAAGAATTATAATTCGTAAAATCGGATTTTTAAAATTAATAGAATCTATGATCCCTTAAAAAATGCAATTTTCCTTTATTAAATCTATATTAATTGACTAAATTACCCTTATAATTAATTAAGATGATATTTTTCAATTATATTTAATTCAATAATATATATTAATCACTTTCTTAAAATAAGTAAATTTGATTGGCCCACATTTATGCATACAATAACACAATAATTACTTTGAATAGAATAACCTAAGCCTATATATATATATATATATATATATATATATATATATATATATATATATATATATATATATATATATATATATATATATATATATATGATATAATTCTATGATTTATCTTTTTTAATGTATATAAAATTGTCACGCCTTGAAAAACGTCATGACTTAGGTTTGACCTTGCCGCCCAGCCCAAGCCTCACGTTATTTAGAACTTTACCAAGTACACTTGGGAGACAGAAAATCCGAGGAATGACATGTATAAGTACTCCTACTCTGTCACACCCCCGGACCAAACGGTGGAAACGTCCGGAGGCGGGTGACTTCATTGTGCAGTATCATAACAATCGAATATAAATGAAACAGAGCAATCCAAACATCATACATTGAGATAACAAACTTACATTGTTTACATATTGTATTTGTTCTTCGAATTACACAAAAGAGACATAAGCAGAAAAATCCAAGCTACAGCTAAAAGTCTTGCATCCGTGTCCCTTGTTACCTGCTTACTAGGTACCTGAGAATACAAGTCGTTTTGAAAAGCGTCAACTAAAAAGTTGGTGAGTTCATAAGCAGTTTTGTGTATAAAATCGTTTACACTTGTTTATAATCGTTCTTGTTGTACTTTCAGAAAATCCGATATTTTCTATGAAATCGTTTGAAGTCTTGCCTTGAAAATCATGAATATGTGTATGCATGACATTACTTTTGTTCATCCTTATAAGGAGTGATTTTGCAAAGTAGTGTGATTTGTAAAAGCGAGCTGTGTCCGAGAATAGTTCGTTTGAATAGTAACAATCAATCGTTTCAAGAAAAATCCCTTATTTTCAAAAAGGAAATATTGTTGAAAATCTTGTTCCTCTTATCGAGTAAAATTGAGTGTGTGCTTTCTAGTTTATTGTTATCGAAATCGTAGAAAAATCATTTTCCCCAGAAAATCCTATATTTCCTGCTATAAAATAATCGTAAGTTCTAGTTTCCAACTATGTATATGTGTGGGTTAGTTTATCGTTATCAAAATCGTTTACAAACGTTTTCCATAGAGTCCTACGCTTTTTAATTTGTAAAAAATAGCAGTATTACGACTCTATACTTGTAGGAGAAAGAATCAACATGGCTATTGTGGACATTCTACGCGATGAAGAAGGACAGTCAACACAACAAATGCGGACCATCACCTATCACGTGTAGGACAGTCAACACAATGTGCCAAAGTTTATTTATGACGTTTTCCTTACATAAATTTCCAGTTAATATAACATATTCTAGTGAGTCGTTATAACCATACTAATCTAACGAAGTGCCTGTTGTGGCGTTTCTCAGGCGCCCTCGGTTTGGAAAAAGACATTTGTCACCCTAGACTGGCCTGTCTAGCTGTAGCGAACAACGAAGGTGCTGGGTGTCAACCCCGTATAGATCTATACACAAATTCCCGCTCTCCCTCCAGGAGACTCTGGCTATAACTCCTTACAGGACTTAGACATACACTAATATTTTTATATTTAGGTACTTTTAAGATTTGTCTGACTAGAATATTAACAACCTTTTGAGAAATCGTTAGAGATCCATTATTTGTTAGATAAATAATGAAATTCGTACTTATTGAATAAAAATATTGTTCTCGTTCCATATCATTGATTGTGCTCGTTAACTAGGTGCTCGTGTTCGTTCCTTTTCGTTTATTGAAAAATAAGTCATTTTAGTCGAGAGAAAAAGTGTCAAGTTATAATTTGTATAAATTTATAACTGCCGGTTATGACACGCATTTTCTGTTTTATGACATATAGAACATTACTTATGTTGTTGGAGGTTTTACGACAACAGTTTATGACATGCAAATATTTCTGTCATAAAGGCTCCATTTGTGTATTTTCTTGACTCAAACTTTTATATTGAATATTTATAAAATACTCCCTGACGGTTTGCAAAATAGTCACAAAGTTCCCATTTTCGAAATCACTAGAAATAGTGTCAACTTATCAAGGTTCATTTTTATAAGTTTTATTTATAGACATGAAAGCATAGATAAAGGGCTTAAGTTGGACACATCCAATAGTTGGGAGGCTCTTTTGTACACAAAGTATCTTCTGTTTCTTATGAAGTTGTGAAATATTACGTTCATGAGGATATTACTAAAATATTAATTTAATAATATTTCACACACACAAACAAACATACGTACACATGCAATTATTCAAGTATTTAGGCAAGATTTGACTTGTACTCTCCCCCAAAAACATTAAAACATTGAAAATGTGGGGTATGAAGCTCACCTTGAGTTGGTTGAGGAGCTGTTTGGAGTTATAGAGTGAAGATCTCAAGCTTAAACTCTTGCTGAGATGAGGAACTTCCTTGGGAGAAAGTTATCCTAAAGGTGATTTTTCACATATTATTATGAATAAAATAATGTGGATTCATCTTGAAATATTATAAAATATTAGATGAGTGGAGGAATTTACCTTACAACTCCAGGGAGAAGTTTAGAATTTTGTTTTCAGCAAGTTCTTGTTCTTGCTTGGAGATGAGTTTTGAGAGGAAATGAGAAAAGTGAGAGAGAAAGTGGAGTCTAAACTCCCTCACTATCGTTGCTTTGGAGTATAAGGAAAAAGGAGGAATATTTGGTGCATGGGTATCTGGTGGTCCATGCATGGATATTTGGTGGGTAAAGTATGAAATACTGTGATTTGCATGGGAAATGAGAACTTCATCAAATCACAAAGTCAACTTCCTTGTCCTTTTCTTGATTTAGGATAAGGTTTTCCTAAATCCCAACCATTTATTTTTATAAAGAATATGCTTAAAATAATTAATTTTAGCATAAAATATGGGTTTATGGGGTTTAGGATAGGAAAAATACGAGTTTGGTGTAATTTCCGGCGTCAAAATGCCTTAAAATGATGAAAAAGTCCGAAAATAGTGAAAATCCGGAGTGGGGGTTGGTTCTTGCGAGGGTCCGAAGCACTTAGAGGAATTCCGGAGCCATTAAGCAAATTTCGGAGTCAACAGGTGCGGTCCGAAGTGTCTCACATTTCCGGAGTGTTCTTCTCGGATCCGGAGTCAGGCGCGAATCAGCGGTCCGGTCCGGCCAGCGGTTTCCGAAGCGAGGCGAGGCGAGGCAAGAGGCTTCCGGAGCTGCGAGATTTCGGAATGGGTGGTCCGGATGAGAGGCTTTCGAAGTGGTGAGTCATCTTGGTTCCTTAGGAGGCATTCCGGACTAAGAGGGTTCCGGACCAAAGAGGATTCCGGCCAAGAGGTTCAGGACTAAGAGGAGTCCGGACCAAGAGGTTTCTGACCAAAAGGGTCCTTTTGGGGTTTCCTCTTCCGGTTTTGAGCTGTTTTCGACTAAGGAAGGTACTTAGGGAGATTTGAGAGAGATTTGAGATACGTGGAGAGATTTCACATACTTGGAGAGATTTGGGAGAGATTTCACATGCTTGGAGAGATTTGGGAGAGATTCACTATTCTTGGAGAGATTTGAGAGAGATTCACTATACTTGGAGAGATTTCGCATACTTGGAGAGATTTGGGAGAGATTCACTATTCTTGGAGAGATTTGGGAGAGATTCACTATTCTTGGAGAGATTTCGCATACTTAGGGAGATTTGGGAGAGATTCACTTTTCTTGGAGAGATTTGGGAGAGATTCACTATTCTTGGAAAGATTTCGCACACTTAGGGAGATTTGGGAGAGATTCACTATTCTTGGAGAGATTTGGGAGAGATTCACTATTCTTGGAGAGATTTCGCATACTTAGAGAGATTTGGGAGAGATTTCACATACTCGGAGAGATTTGTGA